ACATACAGCAACTAGCCAGTCAAATACAAACCAAACCAGTTTCCCTATATGTTCTAGTATATATTTCAAATGTCCTAGAAGGGTCCCAGGATCTGCAATTTTAAAAAAAGTCAATACTAAAGAACAAGAAGAGATTTTGAACACGAGTCCACAAAAAGAAAGAAATCATTACAAGCCTTCTCTAAATGGTCTCAGTGCTATGACTTGTCCTGAATCCAGACTGGCATTGATAATATAAATTGTGGTTCCAAAGATAAGATTGAAGACACAGCCACTACAGTTGGAACAATATTGTCAAGAAATGAGAAATGTGTGATATGACTATATTTTAAAGAGTAATTCAGTGACATATGGATGGTTTCTTCCATAAGGGTGTAACTGTTATTTAAAGGGAGGATGGAACCTGACTACTAAGCAGCATGACGGAAATAGTAGTAATTTTGAATCATATGAAGTGACTAGTGTCTAAAATGTTCTGGATGAGGTTACAGTGATTCTAAAGGCAATCTGTAACTGATATTGATCAGTATATATAGTGTGATGTAAGTGGTAGTACAGTATCTAATTATTCAAGGACAAGACAACTTGTGTATGACCTATAAATATCAAACCTGACTATGCCTGTGTAAAGAGGACTTTGAAGAGTGACACAAAACTAGGTACCACAATGTGTTCACAGAGATTCCAAAGTCAATTTGGAAGATGTAAAGTGAAACTCCTCTTAACTAGTAGTCAGTGGTTAACTCCCTTTTGCAAATTGCTCCCGGGAGTTGAGATGGATTGTTAATAGGGAGAATTAATTCACAGGACTCCTGAGTAAACCAAAATCTCTTTGAAGTCGTCTCTTCCCAGCAAGAGAAGAAAATATTATATTTATGCAGAGAAAATATAATGTGGAATTATTTTCCGTTCTATACAAAACAGTGTAAATCACTTGAGGGTAGAGTGGGCAGCCTAATTTAGCCCTTTATGATTTAATACATCTATTTACTGCTCCTGTTTATCATATTGATAAAGGTGTCATAGGTAAATAATGGTCATAGAGCAAACTTTCAGGTGGGAATTCATTCACACTTAAAATTTAGCTAAAATGTCTATGGGTATTTAAAGCCACTGTATTTAATCTGTATCTGCTACAAGGATTAGTGCTTCCTACTCTAGAAAAGGAACTGGAAGATAAACTCTATGGTATGGAACATGGCTGCAATTTTTATTTTTTAAAACTTTTTATTTTTGCCACAGGTATAAAGAAGACTCAGTAGTCAAAACAAAATCTCACACTTTAATATTCTATTGAAATAGAATTGTCTCAGTGAGAATGAGGGATGCTGTACAGTTAATGATGCGTAGCTGTATTTTCTCTGTTATTCCATCCTCTGCATTCTGGTTATAGGTCTGATTTGCACTACCACTGTATATTTATTTCTAAATAAAAATATGTCGATCCCTGTCAGGCCTGCTGATGGGGGGGGGGAAATGGGGGCAATTGCCATGGGGTCCGGGTGATTTAAAATGGCCCAGGGGCCCCCAGCCGCTGCCGTGGTAGCTGTGGCGGTGGCCGGGACCCTGGGCGGGCTGCAGAGCTCCTAGGTTTGTGCACGGGGTGGTACTGGTGGCGGCGAAGGCAGCCTGGTGGGCATGTGAAAGCCCTGGCCGTGCTGGAAGAGCACGCCCAGCAGCACGACTGGCAATTTGCTGGGCACCAACAGCACAGCCAGCAGCAGCTAGCTGGCACAGCACCGCATAAATGTCAGGTGGACCACGGGCAAGGCTTGTGCGTGCATGTGTGCACAGCCGCCATACTTGGTCCAGCTCCACGCCAATTGACTGTTCTGCTCTGGGACCCGGAATTGCTGTCAGCGGTCCTGATCCCTGCACTGATTGGTTGATTAATCCAAACAGTTAACCAATCAAAACACAGAGGTTTGCATAATAATCTGATTATTTCTGAATAACACTGCCTGTGAAATTGCAAATCTTTACTCTGATTGAGTTCTGTGATGCCTCTGCTTTAATTGACTCCATTGCTCAGCATTTTCAAAATAAAGACACTTCCTAATCTTCCCTCTCCCTTCAGCTACAGCAAAATAACAAAGCAAAATAACACTTCACAATATACACACAGAAAAAAGTGCAAAAGTGCTGAAAAGGGAAAGTGCTTTTAAAAATGCTAATCTAATTTTTTTAAACTCATATCATGCCTTCCTTGTTCCCAACCTCTCCTCTTTTTCTTCCCCTCTAAATATCAGCCAGGTTTATATTCTCAGAATTGATCACATGATTTGTCTTCACATTGCTGACATTGTAACAATGCCAGCCCCTCGTTCCCAATTCAGTTTTAAAATGCAAAGTAAGCAAAACTGTATTTTAGTTACTGTGGAGGAAAAAGCCTTCTCATCTGGAAAAGGGATGGGGTGTGAGGGAAGGCGTAAAAGGAAGGAGAGGGAGGGAGGTGTTTGTGTTTTGTTGTTTTTATTTTTTTCCTTTTTCAAAATCAGTTTACTTTTCAACACTTTGCCCCTTTAGGGTTTTATTCTCCCTTCCCCCATAAAATATGGTCACTCATCTATACACATTTTACTATAATAGTAACTTGAGGGTGTTTTCTGGGTTTTTTTATTACTATTTCTGTTTTATAAAATGGCACTTCTTTCAAACTGTTCTGAGGTGTGAAACATTACAGGTAGTTCTAGGGGAGACGCATTACGGATAGGACTTAGATGAGGAGGTAATGTGCCATTTACCATGTGTAGCATTCCCAATGCCAAGCATTCATGAATCAGACCCCAAAAAAGTATGAGGTTGGCTAAAATTCAAGACACTTTAAAAAATAAGAAATGTCACTTCAGGTTTTTGAGCCTTTAGGGTTCATGTTTTCAAGTTTGCATGAATAGAACCTCCCCTTCTTTCTTTTCCTTTTTTTTTTTTTAAAAGGTAAGCTGTGATTCTCCCACATTCACCTATTCCAGGGACCTGGTGCTTTAAGAAAATCACCAAATATTGCGAGACTCTTAATAAAATTGTGAGAGTTGGCAACAATGCACATGTCACTGCAATTTAGCATGTTGGGCACAGTTACATTTGTGATGTATGTGTGTTTGCATGTGCACATGTAAATATAAACTGTATATGTGTGTTTGTGTATGTAATATAATTTAGATTTTAATAGAACTCCTAAAGTGTTTAAACTAGTAAAAGATAACTTGGTTGCTTATTTGGTATTATTATTAGGCATAGTATAATTGTTTCCCTATTGTATTTCTGGTTCCACATATTTATTTTATGCCAGGTTTATTATGAGCTATTTATAGTGAAATGGAACCGGGTATGTCTGAATTTATAACTTGATGTTCATCTTCCATACATTAAAGGCAAAAATCAGCTGCATGTGTATGGCAGAGATATGCCCTCTTGAACTGCTATAGTGGGAGGTTTCTCTTGCCTTTGAACTTTGATAAGTCTTTGGCCCTGATTCTCTACAGGGTTGCACCTTTTGTAGTCATTTATACCTTTGTACAGTGGTGTAAACTGCTGCAAAATCAGAATTCTCTACTCCCTCACAGTGAGGGTGTTCACTTTATAGAGGGGTGAATGAGGTGCAAGGAAGTGGAGAAACAGGCTCCTTGAGTTTGCACTCTATTCACGTATCTTCCTGGAGTTGGGCAAATGCATGGGATTGTTTGTGCTTGTCCACGAACCGAGTTGCACTGGGTTAACTGAAGGTGTGATTTTTTTTTTAAAGCTAATTTAGCTAAACTGATGCACAAGGCTGTGTGGATATTCTGATTTTGGTTTAATCCAAGCTTATTTTGAGTTATCCTAAGGTCTGATCTACACTGGGAATTTACATCAGAAAAATCTACACCCCGAGAGGAGTAACTATATTGAATTACCCCCCAGCACTATGTTGTCAGAAGAATTCTTTCATCAACCTTCCACTCAGAGAGGTGGATTATCTACACCAACAGGAGAATCCCTCCCATTGGCGTAGGTAGTGTCTACACTGAAGCGCTACAGTGGTGCAGCTGTGCCACTGTAGTGTTTTAGGCGTAGAAAGCCCTAAGTCAATTGGAAACAGGTTTAAGCTAAACCAAAATAAGCTGCTTGTAAACCAAAATAAGTGTGTCCATACAGATGTTTGCAAGGGTTTAACTAAACTTGTTTAATTAAACAGGTACAAGTTTGTGTGTAGACAGGGCTTTTGTTCAAAGTTTTTAATGCTTTTGCTGCACCTGTGTTTTGTATCCCCTTCCTGAGAGTATTCTAGCAAACAAGGTACCAGCAGGAATGTTTGCCAAAACTGCCATTTTAAACTATTACTCTGGAGTATTACTAGAAAGTGATTTTCAAATTTGAATTCTTGAGTATTCACATTCTAACCCATTCTAAGAATTATGCTCATCCAATCAAGGAATAAAACATACACCATGTGACCTATTAGTCAAAAATGCTTGAAGTTTGAATTGGAAATATCAAACCTTCAAAGCAAAAATCCTCATTAGAGCTTGTTGGAAAATTTCCAGAAAAACATTCTCCATTTTCAACCAAGCTCACTCATAGTGACCAAGCTGTAAACAGTCTTCAGGCTGGAATATATGTCTCTGCATACAACATTTGCTGAATATTTTTGAGCAGTGAACACATATGTGAAAATCGTGTTCTGTTCAGTCAACTTCCCAAATCAGGGCACAGTCCTGAAAACACTTGTGCATGAGAGTAACGTCTTGCACATGAGCTGTCCCATTGAGTTAAATGGGACTACTCATGGATGGAGAGATAAGCACATGCATGAAAATTTGCAGGGTTGAGGCCTTAATGGGCTATATTTGACAAATATATTGTCAGCTCTGAATACCTTGCAGAGCTATGCTTCTAACCCTGTTATAATTTCTTGGCTCTTTATTTTTTGGCGCACCCACCATTTTTGGATATCGGGAGCCACAAGCTGTTCTGTTAAAGTACTGAGTTTAATTGAGGCTGTTTCTTTTCTTTTATCTTAGCAACAAGAGCAAGACCCAACTAATTTATACATCTCAAATTTACCCATTTCCATGGATGAGCAGGAACTGGAGAATATGCTGAAACCCTTCGGACATGTCATTTCCACCAGAATATTAAGAGATGCTAATGGAGTCAGCAGAGGAGTCGGCTTTGCCAGGTGAAACCCTTGGTCTATTTGATTTATTCTGGTGGGAGGGGGGTTGGGTTTTTTTTTTTTGGCTTTGGCTTTTTGCAAATGCTGTTTCCTCAGTAGCTCTGAAGCCTCATAGCTATGGAATATGCAGAACAGTCAGGAAACAGCATCTTGATCAGATTGCGTGTCTGTACTTTTTGCAGAACTGAAGAATACCAGTGCAAATAGGGGTTCATCCCATTGGTCCAAATATTAGTTCATTACCCTTTTGTATATGGAAATAAAATCGTTAGCAATAGTGAACTGTCCATGCATTATCAAGTTTAGATAATAATAAATGTCCTACAGCTGAATGCATTTAGAGATTTAGCAAAGCCGTTCTAACAAAGAAAGGTAAATTTATCAGCAGGAAGAGCAGAGGAGAGGAAGTGTATCTGGAGAAACACAAGTTGCTTGAAAGCCCCAAGGATTTCAGGCTCCTGAGAGGTCAGGAGAAAGATTTACATTTAAGAAACCCTGGCTAGTATGATGTTTTAGACAGAATAGAGTAGACCTTGTGTCGTCATGAGAGAAGGAAGCATTTTCATGTTAACTATAAGGAAATACTTATAGAAAGCTTCCTCAGCTAGAAACACTGTTAAATGCAGTAGGTTTGTTTAAAAACTAATAATAGTAAAGAATGGAATCTGTACATAGAAGGGGATAGAAGAGGTAAGTGGAAGAAGGAGCAACTTATATATCCACTTACAATGTAAATAAATGTCTCCTGCTTCAAAAGAAAAGCAAACATCACTCTGCTTTACAGAACATTCATGAGACTGTACTTTTGAACAGCAAGCAAAATTATGACTCAGTTATCTTATGAATTTCCCTGGAATACACTCTGTCTTGGTATATCATGACACTTCTCCCAGTACCATAATGCCACTGAGTAAGGTGGGGTTACTGTGTGATAATGAGGCAGCTTGCAAGATAACTGGCAATGTAATGTTACCTTTGTCCTTGATATACAAGATCATCATATTCAAGGAAATGTTATGGTATTACTGTCTGAATTCAAATGGTAGAAGACAAACCTATCAGTGTAAAAGATGACACACTATTCTTTAAGCACCATCTATGTAAACAATATTAACTTGATTCTCTGAACTCACTACACACAGCTCAGCACTATCGGATGGTAAACGTTGCATTGTAAATGTTGGCTGTGTTCATGGAAATGTACTTAACTGATAACATTTTTTTTAAACCCAGTGTTAATGCAAGACGAAGGTCGTGTATTTAAGCACACAAAAACAGGAAGGGTAAAATCCTGGCTCCATTGAAGTCCATGACAAAATTCTCATGGACTTGAATGAAGCTAGGATTTCTCAGAGCCACAATTGAATGCTGAAGCTTCACTTTGCCCTTGGGCACTAGAATTTACAATCCAATCTTTAATGACATATTTCTCTTGTAACAAGGCACTATTCAGTTTCTTTTACGGTGTGTATGTCACTGTATATAGATGAGGCGCTTTATGGTTGTCTAGAAGCATGTGGAGGTGCAGGCTAGTACATCTATAGTGTGAGCACACACAGTAGGTGTGTGTGACTATGAGGCAAAGGTGGGATATCAGCAGTATTTATATGGAGAATCGATGACCCTCACCTTTGCCTCCATTAAGGCCACTTTGTACTGCTCTGCAGGTGTAAAGCATACCTAAAGCTCATTTAGCTGGAGGATTATCCCTGTCTGGGGGAGTCCTGGGTGGCTTTAAGCCATCGTGGTAACCCCTGTGCCTTTCTTCTCCTCGTTATCCCCACTGTAAGTTTCTAACCCTGATGGTTGTGGAGGAAAGCATGAAAGCATGACCCAAAGGGCACCTAAAGGCTTAAAAAAAGATGATGCCACATTGGAGGCAAACAGAGGGTGTCAGTTGAGGAGGGAAATAGAGAAGATCAAGTTAGCTTGAGGATGCTCCTCTTGACCAAGGGAAGCACTTCTGTCTTTGAAACATTTAAGTGAAGGCAGTTGAAATGATACTATACGATTATTTGAACAAGTCAGACATTATCTTGGATGCTAATGTGTATTATAGGAACAGAAGATTTCCTCTATTGAATCAAAAGAATGGTCTGTCAAATCCAGTATTTTGCCTCTAATAGTGGCCAATAATTTGATGCTTTAGAGGAGAATGAAAATCCCCCAAATGCACCTCGATCACTATCCAATATGCTGTTAAAAATTGTTTCCTAATGCCTATGGTGTATAGAAAAAGAATAAATAATAAAACAGAAAATATCATAATGAGAATATATATATCCATGGTGCGCCCATACCTTGAATACTGCATGCAGTTTTGGTTCCCTCATCTCAAAAAAGAATATATTAGAATTGGAAAAGGTACAGAGAAGGGCAACAAAAATATTTCGGGGTATGGAACTGGTTCCATACGTGGAGAGATTAAAAAGACTGGAACTGTTCAGCTTAGAAAAGAGATGGCTAAAGGGGCATATGATAGAGGTCGCAAAATCATGAGTGATATGCAGAAAGTTAATAGGGAAGTGTTATTTACCCCTACTAGGGATAAACACCAGAACTAGGGATCACCAGATGAAATGAATAGGCAGCAGGTTTAAAGCAAACAAAAGGAAGTACTTCACACAACACAGATAGAATCTTTCAAGCTCATTGTGATGGGACATTGTGAAGGTCAAAAGTATAACTGGGTTTAACAAAGAACTAGATAAACCCATGGAAGGTAGGTCCATCACTGTCTATTAGCCAAGATGTAACTCCATGATCCTTGTGTCCCTAAGCATCCATCTGCCAGAAGCTGGGACTGGATGACAGGGAATGGATCACTCAGACTTACCCTGTTCTGTTTGTTCCCTCCAAACCATCTGGCACTGGCCAATATCAGACAGGATACTGGGCTAGATGGACCATTGGTCTGATCCAGTAAGGCTGCTGTTATGTTCAGTTTAAGCCCTAACAAATATATGAGCGAGGATTCTGAGTAACATAGCTGCATGTTGGAAAACTCTGTGGAGTGAGGTTATCTCTTCCAAGTCCCTGGCCCTACATTCATTACCACTTTTGCAGCCATACCATTTTCCTGTCAGAAAGCCTTTTGCACATAGGGGGAAAGGGGCAGGATTTGCCGTATAGTATGAAATCAGACTATTCTGAAGTCAAAATGTGTAACTATAAATGCTGCTATTAGTTATAAAACATCACTCTTTAAAAATCCAGTCACTTTATTTAATTGTACCGCACAGGCACTCTGGGACTAACATAAGGCACAAATTCTTTACATGCACCACTCTTGGAAATACAGCACTTTCAAAAGAAGAAATTTCCAGCCATAGCTGGAAACTACTCATGTGCTTTAGGCTCAGTTGGAGGGAAAGCAAGGACTAGGAAATAGCTGATGTGGGTCACTCTACAGCAGCCTGCAGAAGGACACATTGCCTAATGACACTATGTCCTAGTGAAGACGAGAGGATGGAAAATACAGGCAAGGTCTGATCACAAACAGTCAAATAAAAAAGAGTCCCATTCAATTACATCATGTAATGGCAGACATCTAAAAGGAGACAAGTTTTTAAAGTGCTTATACATCAGTGCTAGAAGTCTAAATAATAAAATGGATGAACTAGAGAGCCTTGTATTAAATGAGGATATTGATATAATAGGCATCACAAAAACTTGGTGGAATGAAGATAATCAACGGGATACAGTAATACAAGGGTACAAAATATATTGGAAGGACAGAACAGGTCATGCTGGTCGGGGAGTGGCACTAATGTGAAATGAAGCATAGAATCAAATGAAGTAAAAATCATAAATGAATCAAACTGTACCATAGAATCTCTAAGGATAGAAATTCTATGCTCTAATAATAAGAACGTAGCGGTATGGATATATTACTGACCACCTGACCAGGATGGTGATAGTGACTGTGAAATGCTCAGGGAGAGTAGAGAGGCTATTAAAATAAAAAAACTCAATAATAATAATGACGGATTTCAATTATTCCCATATTGACTGGTACATGGTACACCTCAGGATGGGATACAGAGATAAAGTTTCTTGACACCTTAAATGACTGCTTCTTGGAGCAGCTGGTCCTGGAACCCACAAGAAGAGAGGCAATTCTTGATTTAGTCCTATGTGGAGCACAAGATCTGGTCCAAGAGGTGAATATAGCTGGACCGCTTGTTAATAGTGACCATAATATAATTATATTTAATATCCCTGTGGCAGGAAAAATACCACAGTGGCCCAACACTGTAGCATTTAATTTCAGAAAGCGGAACTACACAAAAATGAGGAGGTTAGTTAAACAGAAATTAAAGGGTACAGTGCCAAAAGTGAAATCTCTGCAAGCTGCGTGGAAACTTTTTAAAGACACCATAACAGAGGTTCAACTTAAATGTATACCCCAAATTAAAAAACATGGTAAGGGAACCAAAAAAGAGCCACCATGGCTAAACAACAAAGTAAAAGAAGCAGTGAGAGGCAAAAAAAGTGGAAGTTAAATCCTAGTGAGGAAAATAGAAAGGAGCATAAACACTGGCAAATAAAGTGTAAAAATACAATTAGGAAGGCCAAAAAAGAATTTGAGGAACAGTTAGCCAAAGACTCAAAAAGTAATAGCATTTTTTTTAAGTACATCAGAAGCAGGAAGCCAGCTAAATAACCAGTGGGGGCCACTGGATGATTGAGGTGCTAAAGGAGCACTCAAGGATGATAAGGCCATTGTGGAGAATCTAAATGAATTCTTTGCATCTGTCTTCATGGCTGAGGATGTGAGGGAGATTTCCAAACCTGAGCCATTCTTTTTAGGTGACAGATCTGAGGAACTGTCCCAGATTGAGGTATCATTAGAGGAGGCTTTGGAACAAATTGCTAAACGAAACAGCAATAAGTCACCAGGACCAGATGGTATTCACCCAAGAGTTCTGAAGGAACTCAGATGTGAAATTGCAGAACTACTAACTGTTGTCTGTAACTAATCATTTAAATCAGCTTCTGTA